ATACTATTATTTATACATCGAAAAATATTTATGTATTTTTAATTTTTAATATAACTATTATATTTAAATATATTTAAAATTATAATGCTCAAAAATTAATTTAATCCTTTAAGTTATGTTTGTGGAATGAATGAGTTAATATATTTCATAAAATGTATTAACGATTAAAATTCCTAATCAATATACATACCATAGAAGTTCTTAAAAAGTAAAAAATTAAAACTAAAGTTCAAGATCACCTAACAACCAGTTTTTAATAATTTTTTTTATTTACATAATATATTATTTTAGTTACAGAGATTAAAAATCTAAAAAATTGACTCGCACAATGCATTATATACCAGTGCATATTATACATACATTCTATTTAATTAATTTGTATGTAATTATTGTTTTTAAATTATAACTTATATACCTGACGTTTGGTAGTTTCAATATTATTTTATTTTTCAAAATTCTAGATATTACTTACATATTTCATGTTGTGCAACCAAATAGGAACACACTTATTTATTACCAATTTTCTACTACATTTTAATTCATCATATAATATCATAATAATTAATCATTGATAAAAATATATATACTTTAGAAATAATATTTATTTGACAATTTCAAATTGTAACGGTGTACTATATAATATATGAATGTGAATATAATTATAAATATATATACTATGAGATAACCAGTTTTAATAATAACTGTGAAAAAGTGTAATATTTATATAAGGAATGAAATATTTTCAATCGATATAATACCAACTGTATTGTTACGGTTAAATCGGGTAATCGATTGTAATATTATAAAATAATAGTAACATATTTTCAAACATATTTATTTACATAACTGTAATAACTTCGTGTAAATGGATTTATAAAATATTATCTACCTATATTATAAACTATTATTTATATACTGCAGCAGGGTATATCGTAAAATTCGTATTATATTAAAAAAAAAAATGTCTATAATATTAATAAAAATAAAAAACAATACCTATCCAACCTTTTTTATTCGGACCTTCCATAAATTATTCGATTTTAATAATTTATGGAAATATGAATATTAATATAGGAATAGGGATGCATATTATACTCAAAATGTATCACAAAGATTTGAACATTTTGCATTTAAATAATGGTATGTAAAATATTATTTACACACTCTATGTTCTGCACATGTATATGTGTCACACCTGGTTTAATATGATAAAATAATATATATATATATTAATACAGTGTCCTCATTGATTTTAAAATTAATCCACCCCTTGGGTACTTCCACGGTGTTTCGTTTGGTCCCGAAAATCATCAGAATACATTCCCAAGTCTACCCTAATTTCAAACCAGTACTATTTTTTACATACCTACATACATCTGATAACAAACAGAAAAAACGACTATTTCTTTAAATGCACGAAGTCGTTACGTTTAGTGTTTTCCCGGAATACGAGGGAAAATATGAAACATGCAACAGTGATTGAACGAAAAATGTGAATTTTAAGTTAAAAAAAAAGGTTTTGTTGAAATCATTCTCGTGTATTCTACTAGACTAAAATGTATTGTATCTTTTATCGCACGATAAATGCTTATTAAACATGTATTGCCCATAAGACATGGTGCAAGTACATACATGGTAATAAATGATGATAGCAAATAATATTTTCACACGAAACGATTAATAATTAATTTAGTTACGACCATATTTTCAATAAATATTACGTATGCAATTTTGCAATTTACAAGTAAATATGAAATGCATGCTGGGATGGATTGAAAACCAAATTCAGGTCAGGAGATTGAAATTTATCCTGCCTTTTACCGTTTACTAATTAAATCACAAAAAAAAAATCCGTTATACTCGAATTCAGTATTTGATTATAATAAAAATCAAAATATTTCATTTTATTTATATTAATGTTACTGCATTTGGTAATTTTGAAGTATTTCAATTACTATTTTTCCATTCCATTTAACTTTAATGTATCATTTGTATACCACCAATACCTGAGAAATAAAAAATAGTATAATTGAATAGTATAAATCTATAGAATAAAAGGAATATTTTTAATTGTATATAACTATAATTAAGAACTAATACATAATATTATTCTATACTTAAAAAAGTCGAGTACTTGTATTTATGAGTACTTCAGCTGAGATTCTACAAAATATTATTATGCATTAATTTATATTGTTTGAACACAAATATTAAATATGAAACGGTCGCTAGAATCTCGCTACACTTGAATTACTCCTTCACGGCGAATTTACACTTTGTTCGACCGTGAAAAGTGTCACCCCACCGGGTGAAGAATATATATTTATATATTTGGGTGAAAATAATGTTTTTGAGAAATATTAAACATTTCCACTCTTTGTCCACCCGCAGAAGAATACTACGCTGTACGTTACGATTATAAAATATACATTATCCATAGGTATAGAAAATCGTTAAGTTTAAATCCAAAAGTATTATTTCGTTTTAATCATAATGTGGTATTTTGTATAGACAATTTAAAATTCTATTAAACATATATGCATAACAAGTAAGCTACTTAAAGACTTCATTTATTAGACGATCAAAATTGAAACCGTTGTTGATCTTAGTCTTATTAAAAACTATAGTTCTTTAACCCATAATAGGAAGGTATAAACATTTCGACCAATTGATTTTTCAACAAAACTTTGGTATTGATATTGATTTTCAGTCAACAAGTTTAAATGCGCAGTTAAAGCTAAAATAGTTTTCCTCTGCACGTTGAAACGTTGATATTCAACTTGAGTTGCACTTCTTCTATACCGAAAGGATCGTTTTTTCAAAGTTAATTTTAATATAATTTAAGAAGAACACGAAATATGTCTACGATATTTATATGAACTATTATATTTATTATATAATAATATTATTATTTATTATATTTATATAAAGCTCTGTGGGCAACTACTATTTTGTAACTTTGCACACTGTATTTGTAGGAAATTCTCATTAGATATTTGGATGTATGCTGATATGCATGTGCTTTTTGTTCTTTTAAATAAATAAGTCTTAATAATTTAAAAAGTGATATAAATTTATCACCACGATCACAAAAGAAAACATCACAAAAATATTAAAAAATATTGGTTAAACTAAAAGTTTCAAGTTGCGTACCTATAAATACGAGTACAAATTATTATAATTTCTACGTTAAAATTAAAAAAAATAGTATTTTTCTGCACCTATACTAGTGAAGGAAATATTCAGTATATGGAATGGTGTTCGTTAGTTTTAAACTGTATTTAAAGTTACAATATGTTTGCATATACATTATTTTCTACATATAATCAAGATCATAGAATTTTACTTAATTTTATTTAAATTATGCCCGTCTTTACAACCTTGTACAACTTACTATTTAGAATACATTTTGGATTCGTTATTAAAATTACATAATTATCAGTAAATCAGTAAAATTTATGATAAGCGGAATTTGTAACAAAAAAAAATGTTACTATAAACGTTTTGAATATTGAATTCCTTTTTATGGGAATATTGATTGTAATTAATTTTATAAAAAATACTTAAATATACGTTTTACAGCATCACTAATCATGAAATAGTTCAAACTATATCAATAAAATACATTCAGGAATTAATTATATTTAAAATCGGTTTAATATAAATTATGTAAAGATGGCTCATCGCCCTTGTATAATCGTTCCCTCCCTTGGGATTTGGTTTTTTTAATTTAGTATATCGCTGGCCCAAAAACATCTATATGCACATTTTCGAACTTATGATTTGATAACAAAATATTTTCCGTTTTACCCACAGATAATATATAAAACAAACATTTAAATATCAATAATTTTATTTACATATTATATTAAATTTTTTTTAGGGGAAAATAATCCAATTAATGGGTTAGAAGCTCTAATTTCACGTCCGAAATCAGTGTTTCTTAATATCCATTTTATGCTTAGTATTATTTATTCACTACCTACTTATAAGTGTTGGTTTAGCAGAATGCAGCTTTTCTATACTTAGAAGGTACCTTCTAATAGGTCCAATAATAGTTATAATTATTATAAGTAATGTATTAATCATTTAACTTTTATGTATTCAGTATTACTCAATAAACATAAAAAAAAAAAAACTCAAAATTCAAGGTATATTAGTTTATATTATACTCGTAATATTTAGTTTAATGTTAACTAAATGGTAAAATGGTCTAATAATTAAAAAGTTTACTTCACTTTACTAAAATTAAAAGTATTATTTGTTTATAATATAGAAAAATAAGCTCCTACCTAATTTTCTTTGCTTATACTTTTCATAATATTCCTATATAAGTATTTTCATCAAAATATACATTAGTCTCGCGTAATTAAATGCTTTTAAGATTGATTAATATTTTTTTTTATTTAAAATGTTTCAAGGCTATATATTGCTACTGATCACTAAGTTATTGATTTACATATTTATATTGGAGACATGGTTGACGTCACCAATTAGCGAAGACTAGAAAAATGCATCATAGCCATAGAAACATAAATGTTAATATAGATAATATTATTGTACGCTTTGCTAAGCAAAGACAAAAAGGCATATGCTTTTATTATAATTATTATAAGGAACAATTTAAAAATCAATGCATTTATAAATATTTTTTTAATACACTAATGTTAAAATGTATTAATATTATTAATATTTTGATTTTAATTTTGATCCGTTGTATAAATTAAAATTATGATGTATATTTAAATAACTGTATTACCTGTAATTACCTGTATGTTTGTTATCATATAATGATTATATAATTAATATTAGACCACTGTACTTTTACCCCTTACGGGTGTTAATTAATAAATAAATAAATATATAAACATTATTATACATTTACACCTATAATCCTTATGTATATAAATGCTATGAGGGTTTGACTTTATTTTCATTCCCTTTCCTCTTTAACATCATGTAAAACCGCCACTGACCTTGTAAGATGTACGTCAAGCGTTTCCCTTATCAGTTCGATTAATTTGTCCGAATTACACGTCTGAATTAGTAAATTAAATATTCGTCGATGCGCAGTGTTCGTCCCTGGACGCGCGCCGTCATCATAATAAAAAGAAAAAAAAAAATCTCGAACCGAACAATAACCGTACACGGTGTCGAAAACAACATCAATACGTAACACGCGTCACGACGATGACGATAAAACGCGGTCGCGCGCGATTGCAAGTAAACGTGGTACCGAAACGTTCGATTGTTACGACGCGCCGCTGCGGTATCGCAACAACACGACGCTGAACCATGGTCGACGAACGTTTTATCGTACGCGCGTGACTACTACCGTTGTACGTCGATCGAAAACACGAACCCGACGCGAACCGGAACGATTCGCAACGGACCGAGGTCGAGTCGCGATAGGTGCCCGCAAAGATCTCCGCAACCGGTCGTCGATTATGTCGATCACATCGGACGCTGTGCCGGGTGCCGCGGCAGTTGCTACGCCAGTACCACACTAGTGTCAGACGCGCGCGGTCGTGCGACACGTTCGTTTAGCGCACGCCGTCCACGAGGTGCCGGACTCGAAAACCGTTAACACAGTCCGCTGCTGTATCCAACTCATTCCGTTCGCTTAAACGACCGATTTGCCTACTGTTGCACGCACGTGCGTCTCGCGAAATGTCCTCTTACGAGACGATAGCCACGGCGGCGGCGACGGGGAAACACACGTCGACGGTAAGTACCACGCGCGCAGCTGTTACTGTTACAACGTATTATCAGACGATCGGTTGATGATTGATGTGGGATGGGGGTTGATTTGGGCTTTTTTTTTTTTAACCGCAAATTAATTTAATAATTTTTTATGCATCTGTGCAGTCGTAAATATTTGCATAATAGATACTTGTAAACATTTGCTATAGAGTACTACGGTTATCTCCAATGACGTAGCAAATGCTCCTGCGATTCTGTAAGTGGGTGGTGGGTCGTTGATTAATAAATTACAACTACCTAAGCATATATACGACGTATAACCGATCAGTGGGCCACGTGATTGTGCTAAACAATATGATTCGCTATGCGATAAAATGTACGATGGGCCGAGTACGAGTTCTGGATTATGTGGCTGAACACTCGCACGTACCGAGCCACCGAGGCCGTTGGATTTTCAAAAACGCGGTCGTGTTGCGTTTCCTGTATTCTTAATTCAATGTTAACAGGATTTTGCGAAACATGTAGATGGATATGAATTGAATTCTTAATATTGTCATTTCAACTCACCATTTATTCACCGAGAGAGTTATCGAAGTTAAGGTTAAAAAAAACCGAGTAGCAGCACGCCCGCGAAACAGATATTTAACGGGAGTGTGTTCTGTTTCCAGTAGGTTGCTTTTAAAAATAATAAACAACAGCGAATAATTATATCGTTTGACTGGTTTTTCGTGTTGTTTTCATCTGGGCCACCAACTTTCGCACTCGCATTCCTGTGACATATTTCTCATTTTAACGGCTTTTAACAGTCGAGACTGATGTACGCTCTGTATGTCGGTTACGTTCTTATAATTATTATTATTATTAACTGCATGATAATCACATTAAACTACGTGTTAAGACTAAGAGCGGATATTATAATCTGGTTCGCTCAGATGAGTGCGGTCACGTCTCGCAAAATAAAATCAACAATGCTTCCTATTTGATACAATACTACGACTGTAGCGTGTGCTGTAAAATAAGTGCATCGGTATGCGCTATTCAGTATAATGAGATGTGTCGTTCGCGAACGACCTACTTTAATTAAACTATTTACCCAAGTGAACAATTTTAACTAGTTTACCAGTGAACTATATCGTTCTTAAAAGAACGAATTTTTGTAGTTCATTGCGACGAATCGTTCAATGAACTAGTTTATCTAAGTGAACGATAATTCCCATATCTGATACGATATCACCACAGATAGGGATGTAATTAAAATGAAATGCTGATTTTTGTCATTGTAACAAAATTAGTATGGCCACGATTAAGGCTTACATTACGTTCGTGTCTATGTTAAAAAAAAAAAAAAAAAAGTTTCACGATTAGGAACGTGTATCTACACAATAAACTATAAAATATTTACGGTGAACCCATACCCCTGCGTACGCGATTAAGTCACAATTGAATTGATCGTCGACACCCGTGAACAATTCAAGACTGGATATTTACTTTGACTACAGAACTCGCAACTGATCGCCCAGAAGACGGTAAATTGTTTCGATATTTACACAAACATAATCGTACAAACACAAATGTTATAATTCGTGTGTTGAAGTTACTAGACCGATATATACAGTATTTATGAGCCTAGAAAATATTCTACATGACTTATAATATATTATATAATTGTATCAAGGTTTATAGTGAAATGTATTTACATTAATATCAAACGTGATATTTTTTATCGTCTTTACTATTTTAAAAGTTATTTATGATCTAATTTTATGGTTTTAATTTTCGCAATTGAAGGGGCTTAGCCCCTCGGACCAAGATTTAGCCCCCAATAAATATTCCATGTCATACATTGAATACCGCATACAGCATACTTAACTCACAATAGTGTGACAAACAAAAAAAGGTACATTGCAGTAAATCTAACTTTGCTCAGAATTTAAAATATATTAACATGGTATATAAGATTAGGGGTAATTTACAGGTTATTTTAATTTTTGGTAGGAGTGTTTTAGCCCCCCCCCAGATTTTTTACCCTAGTTGCGCCTATGAATATACTTACTCGTATAATTTTCAAAATACAAAATTAGGTACATATTTTATCTAAAAATTGTTAATAAAAACCCCGTATCTAAATATTTGTCAATACTTGTTAAATAAACAATTATTCGTTCTTCATTTGTTTTATTAATGATAAATTTAACCACCGCATAGATACCGTGGATTTTGATAATATATAAAAAAGAACAAAACTCTAACTTTTTCTTTTTAAATCTCAAATAGTGATGAGTAAAAGAGGTCAGGAATATCAGTTAATATTTTTAATGATGTTTGAAGCATCAAATTTCTTAAAAAGGTAGGTTGAATGAAAATAGCATCAATATTTTAGGAAAATCTAAAAATTTTAAATGCTTATGAACAACCAAAATTGTATTGAAATATTTTGATACTATGAAATGTCAAATAAATAACAAATATCGTTTAATAGAAATTCGCAGAAAAGTCCCATTTCGTTGAAATTTTATTTTTTTAACCATTATAAATTATTTTTGAGACTTTACAGTTATTCTTTTTTTTTTTTTTGCTATCATAAAATCCTATGAAAAATCTCGTATCAAATGTATTAACATTAAACGTTTTACGAATTTTTTATATCCACTATTTAACGGTTACTCTTGATTTTTATCGTTGATCATTCAAATTAAATTCTTTGTAATCATTTATATCCAAAAAATTATTCCGAAAATCAATTATTAATATTTTTATTGGAAATGTATAATATATCAAATTTATTATACTTAATCAATAAATAAATAATATGATTATAATTACATTGATAAATATTGAAATATCATAAAATATTTATTAAATAATGACAATTAATATTATCTGACTTTTTATATAGCATTTTAATATAATATAAAATTTAATAAGAGATGATAATAATAACCAAGCTATCAATAATCGTAATTACTGTGATAAAGAACATTTATAAGTCCAGTGAATCTGTATATCAATCACACAAAAAGTTTCATTGTCACCAAACTCCGGTTTGATTTCCTTTTGGCCGAACAACTAATTCTCATTATTTTCACACGTTTTTCGAACACTCTAATAGTTTTAAGTGACTTTCAATTATAAAACTAATATCGCTTATTATTGTTAATCAATAGTAGTAACATGGTGCCTAATTTGATATTTTAAAAAACCGTAAACATTTTTTTTAAATATAATTTTTTTGAGATTCAGAGTCTAAGCAATATTTATTTGATTTTTAAAATAGTTCCTTTAAATTTGTATAATATACAAACATCAGAACGAATTAATAATTATGTTTAAATTATAATAATCATTCATAATTAAAATTAAATTATTTAAAAGTATGCACATACTAAAATAATAAAACACAAACTAAAACTCATTAACTATATTAACAAATATAATTCCTATACAATAAAAAAATAAAAAAATAAAAAAAAAATTAAACAACTAGAATTAATAGTTTTTTTTTTTAGTAAGCATGTTTAAAAAAGAATTCAATATTATACTACAAGTAATTGAAAATAGTTAAATAAATCAACAAAATATTTCCAACCAATATCGTATAATTTTCGTCATTCTTTTAGAAATATATAAAATAGCATTAATAGTGTAAAAAAAATGTAGACTTAGTCAAAATTTTAATTTTCTATTTTTACTATTTGTGCACTAAAAATGTAATTAATTTAATAAATTAATAACAATTTTTTGTTTTGTTTTTACAGATCATTTTTTTCCATGGTCTCGGCGAATCAGGGTAACTAAACTATTTACATAACTTCTATGAAACTAATTATTTATATACATATATATACATATGCGAATCATTTTATACAACAAAAAATAACTCCAGCATAATTATAAAATTGTATTACTTTTATATTTATTTAAATTCTGTAAATTAACACTGATATTTATAAAGTTTATTGTACAACTATTTTAAATATTATTTTTATAAAATTTTCATAATGTGACTTAATTAAAAATATAACACAGAACACACGAGTGGAAATTGTATTCATTTTAATTAATATTTTTTATTATATAAAAGATACAGCGACTATAATACGATGTTGAGTATACATCTGTTTTGCTCAGAATTCCGAAGTACAAACTTATCACATTATTTCTTTAAATTCTAATACATTTGAAATTAAATAAACACGATTGAGATGTACTTAAAAATGATCTTGAGTCAAGTTTGGTATATTATGGTATTTACAAGATGTTTTAAAGGTTATTAACCACAATATAAAATATTCACAAACAATAAACTAATGAATTTTTGAATTGATAAAGTAATCTATGTTATATCGTGTAGTCTATATAAAATGTTTTTCAAAGTATACGTAATTTATATTTATTTATATTTAACGTTCAAATAATATTTATAGACGGAATCGCTCGTGCTCGTGCAACCTGTTGAGTTTATGTTTAGTATAATTAATATGCATTTTACACATTATAAATAGTTTATTTTAAAATAATAAGTTGCATTTATCTAAGAATTTAATTATTTTCATTGATATTTAATAAATAATTGAAGAACACAATATTTTCAACGCAATCAAAAGTATAATGAAGATGTGCACAGTTGTTTATTCATTGATAATTGCAACTGATTGCAAGTTTAATAAAAAGCTTCCATTAATCTAAATCTAAATAGCCAATTGTTTATAATTTTAAATATAATAATGCATCATATGGGAACGCATGAACGCAATGGGTCGCAATAGGAGAAGATGGGAACTACTGGTTTGATCTGTTTACAAACTCTATTACAACTACAATATAACACTAAAATAAAAAAACCATAGGTGGTAATTGCATGTAAGTATAGATTATAAAAAGTTGTAAAATAATGCCATGAGATTCCTTGAAACCGGAATTTTCCTGTATTAACTTTAAGATGGTGGTTTCACAATTTTCACCGTTAAAACGTAAAACTACTAAACATTTAACAAAAAAAAAAAAAAAAAGAGTTTTTAAAAATGTAATCTCTAGCGAATTCCAATATATAAAAGGATTATATATAATTCTCGTATAGTACTCGTACTTTAACTCGAAAAGGTTTCACATAAAATAAAAATAAAATAAAATGTAAAAGAAAATACTCTGGTTAAGTTCGGCTTGATAATGTAATATGCCACTCGGTACGCTACAATAAAGTCATATTTTGTGGATATCGTATTTATTTGTACAAATTTGAAACTAACGAAAATACACCACATTAAATAAAGTAAACTGAGCTAATATAGTTGTAAAAATCAACAATACAAAAAAAAATTAATATAGTATAAATATAATATAATATAATATAATATATTATATTCTGTGTAATTATAATAAATAATATATATATCTATATATATATATCTGTTAATAAAAATATATAATTATACTCATGGTCATTAAAAGTTATAACTTTGGAAATTTTTAGGAACGTTTGGATGGAAAAATTATCTACTTTACGCAAACCAAATACAAAAATAATCTGCCCATCCGCGTGAGTATATGATTTCTAGCACAAAAAATCAAAAAAATATTTATAAAATATTAAATCAATGATGAGACTATCAATAATGAGATTTATTCTGTACACCCTACATAACCAATAATTTGTTAATTCATTTCATTATTGTGTCGTTAAAAATTAATTGTTTATGTGTGTGTGTGTGTGTGTGTGTGGCAACACAGTTAATTTTGATGTACTTTCAGCTCAAAGATACCGTTGACTTTGAACAAAGGATTCATGATGCCGTCGTGGTTCGACGTGTCGACGCTAAAAGAGGATGCGCCGGAAAACGAGTCGGACATATTGCGCGCCGTAGACAAAGTGCACGCGCTTCTGGACGAGGAGCTGACCAGGACGCGTCTGCCGCCTAAGAAACTATTGCTGGGCGGTTTCTCGCAGGGCGGAGCGTTGGCCCTGTACGCCGCGCTCACATACCACAGGCCGCTAGCCGGAATTCTGATCCTTTCCTGTTGGATCCCGCTACACAAATCTTTTCCAGACGTAAGCCGATGATAATATGACCTTATGTGTGGTATAATTATGTATACGACTCAGCTAAGTTGAACGACTATGAACATGATCATTTATTGATCGAGAAATCTTAGCTATACGTCCTTATCGTTCACTTCCTTGCGTACATAAGCAATTTAATACATTTTTTTTTCATATCAATGAACTGAAACCCTTCTATCTCCAGTTTTGATCGAACATCATCCAATTATTCTTTTCTCGTCTATAATACATAATATTTTTACTTGCAGATATCATAAAACATTTTCCACGATACTTAACTTACTTCATTTTAATATCATTTAAAAATTAACTTTTATTGTGGAAAGCATATTTAAAATCATTTAACGGGTTTCAAATCCAATACGTTACTAAACTATTCAATTTTAAAATATAACCATATCATTCAAGTTGAGTATATATGAGTATATATTACATATACTCATATATATATATATATATATATATATATATCGTATCTTCATCTTATCTCCTTCCTTGTTCTTCACCGTATCAAAATTATTAACATTCACTAAGACATACTTTTATTTTTTTCAAAAACCAAAGTAAAATTATCCATTCCATTCTAAACGATAAAATACAATGCCCTTAATTATAAATATATACGTTATAAGTTTTTTCGTATAATCAAATCGTATATATATTAAATTTGACAAACTATACGTATAAAAAACATTTTGTTTTATACGCCAATTAAAAAAAGTAATACCATACAATCAAATTTCTGCCAAATATTTTAATGGTTAATTCTCATTTAAACTCGTTTTACTGATTTTATATTTTAACCGAACGTATGGATAACCTTCACAGATTGTATTTGTTCACATACGTATTGGTAGAAAATAATATTTTAGACAGATTTTGTTTAATTCTTTCTTATTGTGTGCTATTACAAGTTATTGAAGTTGTATAGCCATTTTAATGTATCATAAGCACTAATGACATTTCGCTTATTTATACATCAAATTGTATTTATTTTTAAAACTACTATAATGATTTTACTTTATTTTATAATATAATTCACTGTGTGCCTATAAAATGGATAGTTGATAATCTAAGAGTATTAATAACTTATTATTTTATACTTGAATTTGGTAATAAATTATAAAAAACATATCAAAACGAATAACTAAAAGAACTTTGATGGATTCATCTACTATTTAAGCGTATGTGTGTTTTTTGTTGTATGATAACATTGGTTTTCATAAAAATACATTTTTATAATTTTTTTTTTTTTTTATGTGTATGGTATTATTTTTAAACGTATATTATATATATTTGAGTGGGTATATATTTTTAAAATTAACAATTTATCACAAGAATATTAAAATATTTATATATTTTAAAGTTATATATATATATATATACATGTACATACTAGAATATTTTATTGAGGGAATAAGTATTATTATGCATTCCGTTAGATATTTTGTATCTATTATTTAGAATATGAATACTACTGGAGTTTATTACTTTTATGTTCCTTGTTTATGATTTAAGGAATCATCATTCAACGTATAACTATTTAAAACTTCGTGTTGAGAAACAGTTAAATATTTTTGATAATATTAATTTGTCTTCAAGCATAATTCATTAATAAACATAATTGTTTGAAGGGTATTAAAAGGAAGTGTGAAAAAGTGGAAATTTACGATGAGATAAAATAAACACACACATATTACCTTTTCTTGGTAAATTTTGTTTCAGAATCGTTTGTACGGAGTTGAATATTATTTTTACATCATATCATCGTTTACAGTAACCAATTAACACCACCCGATCGTTATACTTATTTAGTTAGTAATATAAAATACAAATAAAATAGAGATAATAAATTATCAGTAAAACAAAATTGTAATTTTTATATACATAATTTTTAATTACATATGCATAATAAAAAGTTAGTAAAATTAAATAAATAATGAAGAAGTATGTATAAAATAAAAAATATTTATTGCAACTTTTTTTTTGTCAACCCGTATTAAATTAAAAAAAATATTCGGTCCCAACCGTTTCTATATTATACATGTTTTATTGTATAATTAAAAAAACGTATGTTATTGAATCAATGTTATATTTTATTATTTCGCTATGAAATAGATTATATGATATTCTACATCGTAAAATATAAGTATTAAAATACGTGATCTATACCGATTTTTTTTCTAAATTTAAATTGATTTTAATTTGTAGGCGGCTACGAATAACACTAAAATACCTATTTTACAATGCCATGGAACAGATGATCCAGTTATACCCTACGCATGGGGTAGAAGAACATCAGAAATACTAAGTGAATTTACCACCAAAAGTCAATTCACTAGTTACGAAGGTCTATTGCATGGGACGAATGAGAAAGTAAGCAAAAACATGTGTAATCAGTATTTATTTTAACTAAAGTAGACGCAAAATATCATTAAAAATGAATACATCATATATAATCAAGAGATTCTATGAAACAACCCAGAATAAAAGTGAAATAAACTATTTCGTAAATCTATTATCGTGCGATACATCCTTCATAGGTAACAAAAATATATTCTCTATAATTGTACCTTAAACTTAAAACATTGTAGATCTTTTATTATTAATTTTAAAGGAAAAAATTCATTAAAAAATGTAATTAATTAATTCTTTAGAGATCTGACACAAAATTTAATCTTTTTAATGCACTTAAATCATTTTAATTTCAGAAGGACACATAATTCAAAAGATTACACGTAATATTTTCAAAATAAACCTTCAAAAAGGTTTTTAATAAAAATGATTTCTAAAAAAAATAACCAGATTATCACAATGAAAATAAAATAATAGTTCAAAGGTTAAAATTATAGTTTTACAATTACAATTTTATTATTTATATTATATAAAGTACCAATATGCATTTGCAAATATTATAAAGGTAAGATTTTGAGATTAGTAGATTGGTGTACATGGAAATCCATAAAATTACTGTTAAATATATATTATTGAATTGGCGATTTTCAACATCGATACTCTAAGAGATGTACTCGATTATATTTTTTATTCTAAACATAACTATCGTTTAAAATTAAAAAAAAAAATTTAAAAGAAATGTATTATTATTGATTTTATATTTTTTTACAGGAGTTGGCTGACGTAAAAGAGTTTATTCAAAAACTACTTATATGACAATATTGAAATCAGACTTCTTACATATTGAATTGTTTTAAAATATCATAAACATTCTGAATATGCATCCTTGTATTTTATATATCAGACCTAATAATTATTTAAATTTATAAAATGTTTTTTTTTTGTTTTTATAAAAAAAATCTTTCCAATTTTCTTTTTTTATTTACAGATCATAACAAAATAAAATTAATTTTCCCAAACACTATACTATTTAATACTAATTCAACAAATATAAAAAATTAACTAAAAATATTTTTATATCAGAATAATTTAGAATAAATATACTGTATTCATTAAAACGAAAAAAAATCAATATTTTATAAACATTTCAAAAATGTTATAAAATAATTTTTAAAAGCATTTTAAACACGATTTTATTCTTTAACAATTTTTTTTCTCATAGCTACAAGTGAAGTATTTTTGTTTTGATATCATCTTTTATTTGCTTTTGATAAAACCACAAAATTATAATATAAAATATGAGATGAACGGAAGAAGAAACACTGCTAAATGAACTAAACATGAAAATAAATATGAAAAATACAAAAGTTTTTGTTCGTATTAGAAACAATAATATTAGGGTAAGAATACATCTAAAAAATAGAACGAAAACTATGAAGTAAAGCAAGTAGAAGAGTTTGCATACTTGGGAAGTATACTAGGTGAAGAGTAAAAGGGAAATAAGAAAGCTAAGAGAGATTTTTACTTCGAAAAATATCAGCAGTCAACTCAGGAAAAAACTTCGGAAGAACTATGCATAGAGTAAAATGCTGTACCGTTGAAGATTACCAAAAAAATATACCATAAAAGGTAAAAATTCTTAGGGAAGACTACGACGAATAGAGTGGATGTAACAAATAATGAAAGACCGAGGTTATAATTCTTATGAAGAAACAATGGGACAGGCAAGTAACAGGAAAGAGTGGATAATTGTTACAAACCAATTTCAGAATTGAAAGATGATGAATATAAAATAATAATTATGTGCATAACAATAATTATAATGTGTAAGGAATATCACCGCATCAATTGTGTTTCATTTCGTCAACATTATCGAATGTGACGAGCGATAAAAATAATGATCGAGCGCCATATGACGTTTAACGTTTGATAAACATAACGCTAATTAGTGTCAATTGTATTGAAATTTGTTAATTAAATGTAATACCTCAATAATAAATATTGGGAACATGAGCACACGTTAACCGTCGATTGTCACCATGGGTTCTCAACCTTTTGAGGTCCGCACCCTCACTACTACTATAAGATTGATGTAAGCATAATATTTGTATGTAAACTATACTTTAATGTTGGTTATTGGATTAATAAGAATACAACTTTAACGAAATTTTTTTAATGTTAAATGAATTTATTTGCATAAAAAAAAGTATACCAACACAGCGACAAATCACGGCGTAGAAAACGGCAACGTTTTCATTTTTCGCGTTTTTTTTTTTTTTTTAATCTTTTCACGCCTCTGCTGAAATTTTGTTACGCCACCCTAGGGGGGCGCGTCCCCAGGCTAAGAACCACTGGTATACATCATGTCGCTTGTCTTATTTTGCCATTTACTCGTCAATAACGTATCACGTATATTATACACACACGACTGCGTAACGCATTGTGATTGTGGTCGGCAGAAAAATATGAAACTAAAACGAATGAAACACGTGGCAGGGCGAATACCCGTGACTGTCGTATTCCATTAGTTTCGAAGCGATTCTTGTTTCGTATTTTCGGCTAATTAATGTAACACGTACCTACTGGTACACCTAGGGGTACCACCTACTAATTTCTACGAACACATTCGACGACAACGGGGGTAGAGTAATCTAGTTTAAAGGTATGATTATGCGATCGCCATTCATACTCGTTGTATAAATATTAATATTTATGATACCGTCGGAACCGTATTCATAATGCATTATATCCAATATGATATCTAACCGATTGTGACCGTAATGTTACGTTGTCTACGCTTGTTCATAATGCATGCTGGATGGACTGTCGATGATTAAATAATATCGGCTACTGCGATCGTCGTACGCGTGTATTATTACGGGTACAACCGCGAGATACACGGAATACATATTTCATATACTCCATGGCATTACGAATGGCATCACATGTAAATGCCGTTGTTATTGTTTATTTTTTGTTTTTGTCGACGAACCGACTGTATCAGTTTCAGTTTGTATCCGAAACAGAATCGTTAACAACGTTTTTCGTCAAGACTATCTGTCGAGCACCCGTCCATTATTTTATTATCATACACGATCTCCATACGCTTACGGTGCGTATCACGGTGCGTAACCAAAGTTTCGTAGTAACGATGGCCACGAGCTACGTGGTAGTGATTCAACACGCATCCCCCGATAGGGTGCAGTTTGATAATAATAATAATATAAAATTGTCATAACGCGAAATTATAACAACTTCTCACTTGCAACACGCGGACCAGAAAAGCGGACGAGAAAAAATTCACATTTGCATTTCAACAACGTTCCGCGCGCTCGACCTTACAACCACACACCTTACCTACCCCGCACTTCAATTATTATTACCATCACGACCCCGCGGCTACCTTTCACTCCGCAAATCATAACACGTCGACCGACCCTTTGTTTATAAATACATGCGGGGGACTTTGTTCCGTAATAATATGGTAAATTTTAATGCGACGCGCGCCACACCAACGGTGTGCTATCATTGCACGGCGACTGGCTCGTATAGTTTTACGATTCCCGTATACCGAAAACAATGTAACAGCGATATTAATATTATTATTAATGTTTTATCATCATCGTCATCATCATCATCATCGGCACGGGCCGCAACGTACACAACCGTCGCCATCGATCACCCATGGCTGTACAACAATAATGGTAATAATAATAATTATTACTATAATTATAATAATATTAATATTATAAACGTATCGTATTACAAAGTCCCTCGGCGCCGACCGGATGAACACGCGTATATTTTTATGCGTACTCTGGTGAACGGCGATTTCGCGGGAAACGTATTATTCGACCCTGCCGTTATAAGATTCAATACGAGTACCCCGAGTTTCCGGCACGGATTCCGATACACGAACGTAGCCCTGCAGCATGAGACACATTTTTACGACTACGGCGGAGACAACAATAAGTTTTTGTTGACAACTCCGTTACTAATGTAAAACAAACCCCTACCGCCTCCGAACGACAGTAGATGGATACCTATATATATGTTACGAGCAAAGTAGACTTTCGGGCAATGTTTACATTGCCCGGTCATTATGGTATTGCCCGATTTTGATGGGCAATGTAGGTAAAATTATACATCGCCCGGGCTGTGTAGAATTTCTCAGTCTATCTGAGGCAATATAAACCATTTTTTTATTTTTAATGGTAAGCCTTTCTAATGTTACTAATATTATAAATAATTAATAAAATTAGTTATTACCTTATTAGTTGAATATTAATATTAATCAGGAACTATATCAAATATAAATATATAGGTAGCAATCTATAGTCATCATTTTTTTTAATGCAATTTCTTTTAAATATTACCTTTCCATTTCAATTAATTTAGTTTAAATACCACACACATTTATACAGCAAGCACTATACTAACACTATAACAATACGATACGACTTTCAACTGTGCTGTACTTAATAGTATTAACAACTCATATGTTGTATGATTCAATGATTGCGGAGACAATTATTGTACGATATCTAAAAGGTAAAACCGATTTACTGATAATATAATCTTAAAACGACGATAATTGACGAGATAATATTGTGAGTCTTGTGTATTGGTACCTCATGGCTCATACTACGAGTAGTATAGGTAATTGAAGTACCTACTAACAGACAATGCCCGATAGTCTACTTTGCCCGTAACATATATATTTAGATAAAACAATATTATATCACTATATGTCAAAGTCACCATCACCATACCCGTAATGAACTGTAAATTTTGTTTTTTTCCTTCTCGCCGTATACGTAGAATAATAATAATATCCAACATTCGTACAGTCTTATCTGAGCCGTTGTTTGCTCTTTTTCAACCCTCTCTACCATCATTCCCCGGCTCATAACCCCATATATACTCCTGTGCATACGTCCGATGATACAATTACCGTTCACTGTCCATTTTTGGACTTCGAACACCGTTCAATGGGGCATGCATCGTTTTGCGTACATTTACCGTATAATATCGACTAGACAAATATCCGATTACCGGTCGAGCCGTAATACTATATGGTTTTGGTTGGTTTTCTAACTGCAGTTATCAAATAACCAATACTCATATTGAAAATATACCACATATTGAAAATGTCCACTTAATTACTTTTATCTCCGAATCATCTTTCTGATCGATTATGAAAACCCTATACTGTTTCATGGTACAGAAATAGTTCGTTCAATAATATAATGATCGAATGAAAAAACGATATGAACATAATTTCTTAAGACAAAATACATTTTTCAAATCGAAAGAAACGGTAACATGATCAGTTTAAAAAAAAAAAAACGCTGGTAATAATATTACGCGTGTATAATATTTTTAATACATTCAACATAAAACAATGAATGCAGTTAAATTGCACGTGTGTTTAAAAGAATTACAATTTCCGAACAATAAATAACCAATTTTATTAAATTGTTTTCCCATACGGCGGATTTTTCGAATGCCTATCACGCAAAATGACTAGTGGAAGTATTTACAAAATATTATGTGTTCTAATACCTTAAGATAAATTCCAACTATAAGGTTGTATTACATTTTTAGTACGTATCTGAAGTGTTTGCATGAAGGTAATACCATCAGATGCAATTATTAATTAAATGTAAAATATAATTAAACAATCAATAAATAATATTAGATAAACATTTTTTTATCCATATCATATTAATATTTGTAACGCATCTTTTAATGACTTAAAACAAACCGATTACGATTTTATACGAGTAGTATTTGTAGATAGATTGAATGATTGTTAATATTATTTTAAATTCCTATAATTAATTTAGTGTTATTGCTGTTTATTTCATGGAAAATATAAAG